ATTACAAGTACCCCAATATTTGTCAAATTTCTTTTTCATCTTGAGAGCCATATCTCTCATATATTTACTCTCATCTAAAGACAAATCATCTAATGCTTCTTTAATTCCATACAACTCACTAAGAAACAAATTAGAGGTGGGATATTCGGAGCCTATAAAATAAAAGAAGTAAATAAAATTCTATGAGAATTAGGTGATTAGCTTCGAAAAAATGACTTATAATGAAAACCATAAAGAAAATTAATAAWACCTGAAATTATTTTTGTAACCTCGTTGAAAAGCCCCAAGAATKAGCAAATAACTTCAACTTTGTCCCAATCTTCCGAGGTCGGCAAGGTCTTGTATGTCGATTCTCGATCGGCATAATTTVCAAACACGTCTTTAAACTCCAAGGCCGTAGACAACATAGCATACGTAGCATTCCATCGGGTACTAACATCTAAGATCAAATGCTTCTTTGATAAGGTCATTTGCTTGGAAAGTTCGCTAAATATATGCAATCGACCCGGAGAGGCATTCATATGTTTCACACTCTCACGAACATTGTGAATAATGTCTTTAATTTCCGATAAACCATCTTGAACCAACAAATTGAGAATGTGTGCACAACACCGCACATGGAATAACTTCCCCCCAACAATAAGCTTTTTCTGAAAGTTCATAATTTCCATCAACTTTGTAGCCACCACATCATTAGTTGTAGCATTGTCAACCGTCAAAGTAGCAACCTTTGTCTCAATATTCCACTCTTTTAAACACTTAAAGAGGGAATCATATATACATAGTCCAGAATAAGGTGGTGGTACATCAACTAAACTCAATATGCATTTGTTAAGCTTGAAATCGGAATCTACAAAATGACAACTAACAACCATATAATGAATATTTTGCACCGACGTCCACATATCAGTTGTTATACTCACACGATTGACAACGCTTAACATTTTCTTGATTCTTTTCTTGCCTATCTCATAACTAGCAACACAATCTTGCTTAGCCGATGCACGTGAAATCTTGTTAAACCCGGGGTTAGCTTTCTTCATAACCACATTAAATAGTTCTTACTCAACAAAATTAAATGGCAACTCATGAACCATAATCATATGAGAAACAACCTCTCTAATCCTACTATTGTCAAATTTCCAGTTTTGGACCATAGAAGAATCTAATTTCCCCGGCACAACCTTTAACTTTAACTGACCTGGATGAATGGTGTTGACGGCTTTTAACTTTGGGCAATCACTAATATGCCTATGCAATGGTGTGGTGGTTCCATCTTTAAGTTTCTTTATCTTCTCACCACAATGGATGCACTCACAAACTTCAGTTCCATTAGCCAATTTCACCAAGCGAAAATGTTCCCAAACTCCTGAAGTCTTCTTTCTTTTCCTTTTAGCATATGGAGTAGATTATTCATTGTTGACTATGTTGGTCTTTTCTCTATCACCATCAACGGCTGCTACAACGTCGTCTCCATCATTCGATCCGATAACAACCACTTCAGGAGTACTTTCCATTCTTGATGTGTTTGCACTTGATTCAATTTCCGTTGATTCAAGTTCTTGAGGCAATTGCATCAGATCTAAATATAAATCATCAAGAAAGAAATATGGACCGCTACAAGAAACACCAGACATCTACAAAATGCAGAAAAAACATTTTAAATAAAAGAAACATTTTAAATAATCAAACATTTTAAATAATCAAACATTTTAAGAGAATCTTGCTTGAATCCCAATTTTATATTGATGAACCACCCTTGTTTTGGGGTTATAATAATACAAATATGTTTGACCATATTATGTTAATGGACAAAAAGTGATCAAAGCTGCTGGACTTGTGCTAGATGAATCTCATAAGTTTCAGACTGAACCTGATCAAGAAGCAATCTTAACAACTGTAACTTAATAACATCCACTAGTTGTTACAACTCAATGTTTGTTCTTTGGTTTTACGCATCTCTCTAGTTTTAGAAATCATTTGATTTCCAAATTCCAATGTTGGTTGATGTATTGTAACTATGTTCCGGTTTTCTTACGTATATATAACAAGTGAAGAACTATGTTCTTGGTTTGATTTCTTAATGTTTGGCTGAGTATTTCGTTTTATTGAAGCAAAGATTGCTAAAAAGCTTATTGTAAATAAACATTTTACAGTGATTTTGGGTGTAGGCCAGTTACACTTGGTTTTCTCTTTGGTTTTGTTCTACCAAACAAACTAAATCTCCTAAACACCTTCAGTAATCTACTAGCACACTTCCTTTGTGAAGAAAAATTCACAGTTCCTATGCAGCTAGTCACTTGTCCAAGAGGGGTTCTTTTCTTGCTCATTGTTCTTCCCTCTAGCCCATATATACACAAAACCTAAAACACAACAAAATAATAGATAAAAAAACACAAATCATATGGTGGAACCAGCATTGTAAGAATGTAAGCCACGAATCGTAGTTCGTAGATAGGGATTTCTCTTATACAAGCTTGGAAACTCTTTCCAATCATTTAGAATAAAAACCTAAAATCAAAATCAAAAAGAAATTCGGATACTACTATAATATTTAAGAGAACGTACCTAGATACTACCCTTCACGATTGGCGATTGATTCATGGTTATCCCCTTCGCCTCTGCCCTTCACGACGACCACCACAACACCACTCTTCAAGACGTCCACACTCCACACCAGTCAGTCGATGCGATGACCTAGAAGAACTAAAAGAAACCCAACAAAACCTTATTAAAAAGGCCCAATATTAAAAAGGCCTAAACCTTCTTAAAAGCCCAATAATTAAAAAGGTTTTAAATTTTAAATTCAAACTAAATAAATAAACATTATATATTAAAATTAATAGATAAACGAACATAAACGAACATAAATGAACGTAAACGAACATAAACGAACGAACGTTCACGAACATAAATGAACGCACATTCACGAACATAAATGAACGAACGAGACTCTTGTTCATGTTCGTTCGTTTAACTAAACGAACAAAAAATTTTGTTCATGTTCGTTCATTTATTAAATAAACGAACATAAACGAACTTCCCGCCGAACGGTTCACTGAACGTTCGGTTCGTTTACAGCCCTACTCACATATACTCAAAGCAGTTTCTTCAGGATACAGACAGATTCCAAGCTTCTAGGGTTAGTTTCCTTCAATCTTTTGTATTTGTTTTCGATTTCAGTTTTTTTGCACTATACGTGTTCTCTATGATATTTTGTTTTTTTATTCAAACAGAGTTAACATATTTCAAGGTTCGTTTCCTTGTTTTCTTCAATCTTTTGTTTGTCATTCAAGATTCAATTTCTAGGGTTAATTTTTGTGATGAAGCGTATGCATCAATGGAAAAATGTTCTTCTTTATGATTACAGACATAATGATCAGGAGTTAGTACTCATATGATAGTGGAATCCAGACGTTTCATCTATTCTCTTGGTTCATCTATCAATGTTACTTTACCACATGCTATTTCCTTTCTGTTCATAAATACAATTTATTAAAGTTCCATGTTTGAATTTGTGTAACTAACAACAGATAGTCATAATCGTAACAGGATAAACATCTTATTTTAAATATAAAAAAATTAAATTACAATTAGGATAATCATTCTAACAGAATACTTAATTATTACATTTATAAAAATTATATTATTAAACCAAAAATAAGTTATAATAAAGAATATTAAATTAAAAGAATTACATAAAAAAAATATAACTTTTAATAGTTAAGTTAATACAATATTTTTTTCAAAGTTGTATGATATCTTTAAATTTATATTTTATTAAAAAAACATTATTGTTTTCTTAATACCATATAAAACCGTATTATTACATCGATAGAGACAAAAATAAAATGAAAATTGAAATCAAGACGTATCTCGCTACATGATTACCCTTCTAGTTAATAAAAATAAAAAGATTAAAATATATAATTAATAAGTATGGAGCCCTGTTAATTAATACACTAGAGTGCTCCTTGAATTTCATATTTTCATAAATCTAAACAATCAAGTATATATATTTCTGAGATATATGCAGATCTGATCTTAAAAAAAAAAAAAAAAAAAAAAAAAAAAAAAAAAAAAAAAAAAAAACTTTTTTTCATAAAAAAAAAAAAAAAAAAAAAATCGAGAAAAGAGCTAAAGAAGTTTCAATAAATTTGGTTTTATACATAATCATGATATGATATGGATTTTTTGGATTGACCAACAAATGTAAAGGACTTTTTGATGAAGGAGACATAACTTTAAAAGAAACAATTAATAGCTTGTTGAAATTCAAATATAAAAGCTTTTCGGAGATATATATATGGAAGTTTGAAATGTTATCCGTGTGTTGGTGCTAATTAACTCCTTGTATTAATGAAACGGTGACACCTGCAACAATCCCCATGCAATATGAACACTCGGTCATTGATTCATGAAGCACCCACATTAATGTTTGTTTGACAATGGAGGAAATTGCTGATGAAGAAACAAGGATCAGGTGACAGATGTGAATCTTGGCAGGTTTGCATGTCTCACACGTCTTCCTAGTTCTTCATCATCATCCTCATCCTCATCGTCATCGTCATCGTCATCCTCTCTCTCTCTCTCTGCATTAATTACATTTCTATCTGTACTGTCTGTGAAATCAGATGAATGAATTGAAACTAACACTAAATTCAACATGAAAACCCAAGGTAATCAAGCTTCTGAAATCTGATGATCGTTTGAATCGATGTTACAATTAGAGATCTACTAAAAAAGATGGGAATTAAACCTTCTCAACAAGCTAATCAAAAACCCTAAAAATCTAAGAAATTGATCAGGCCTGTTTCTAGAAATGTGAACAATTAATATTCAGGGTTTTTTACCGAGTGTGTGCTTGTTGTTGTGCATCCAGACTTTGAGAACTTTCCGTTTGATGCCGATTTCCTCGCAGAATTGTCGAACAGCAGCCTCCTCTTCTTTCTGAATGCGCCACCCTAACCCCTCCGCAAAAGATAGCATCCGTTCCTTCTGAGATTCTGTGAATTTTGTTCGAAATCGTTTCTTTGAACCTTCTGAGTTAGGATTTGATATCTCTTCTAAATTGTCCCTCGAGGTTGACGGTAGAGCAAGCGGAGGACGGTGGGGGTGAGACGACGATGGCGTCGTCACATGGAGGTAACCAACAGGCCTGTGGTGGTAATAGTAGGTTGCAGGCGGTGGTATCTGGTGGTGTTGAAAGCTAGCTTGGGGATGTTCCGGTTCCTTCCGGTGGAAGTTCCGGTGACAATTGCAGGCGGCGCATTTCAGTGCCTCCAAGGTGCCTTCACCGCCGGCCGCCATAAACTCTCGACATCCGTCCACTGCTTGTTTTCCAATGCCGACTGCGTGATTCTTCAAGCACTCCAAGTATCGAAACCCTGCAATGCCCCCGTTCATCCTCCCGGACGTCCGCTGAATCCCAGTTTCCTCGTCGTCTTCTTCCTCCTCCTCGTCGTCGTCCTCCGTATGCCGATGAAACTCCATTTTCAGTTCAAAAGGATTAAATCAAGAAAAGAGTGAAATGAAGAGAGCAGATTAAAAAGGGAAATTTAGGGAAGAACTGAAGATAAGAGGGAGAAGGAGGGAGTGGACATGAATCAAGTTCTTTTATGGAATTAAAAACACTCCAAAATTCATAGCTCAAGTTTTCTCTGCAAATCTTCTTTCATTCCCTTCCTTTTATAGATCTTTTAAACAACAGAAATTCTTGTTTACACAAACAAACAAATAAAAGAAATAAGAAAAAGAAGATTCAAGAGACCACCGAAAAGGACTACTCATCTCTCTCTCTATCTATATATATATACATATATATATATATATAATAGTATTACGTGTAAATATATTTATATATTATGTAAAAATATAAAACCATAAAGGTGGTGCTTGATTAATTTGAGTTTGGCTCCAAAGGTCAAAAGTAGCTGGAAGTTCCAGTTCAAATCCAATAAAGAATGAAAATTCTCTTATGATCATAGAGGTTCAAATGCGGTGACTCCAGACTATCTGCAAAGCAAATGGTCGTTCTAAAATTAGTCGGCTCGTACAACGAATTAATATACGTGTTAATAAAAAAAATATAGATGGCATTGAAATAATTAAATTAAAAATATAGATGGCATTGAAATAATTAAATTAGAACCATAATTTTTTTTTTGAGAAGATAGCTTCATATTTCATAAAAATGTTGTGATATTACATTACTGTTTTGTAATTTGAAATGAAAAATACTATTAAAATTAATAACATTGTGAAATAAAAATATATGTTTGCATGCATTGTTTAACATTATAAAATAACAAATGAAAACAGGTTTTTACGATATTCACATGTAATTGATCTTAGTGTAAAATCACATATATTATAGATGTTCTTGTATTTTTCTTATTTGAACACACACACATACACACATATAGGCAAATAATCATGTGAGAAGGGAAGTTATGGTGAAAAACGTAATAAGATATCTTAACTCTTGATCACTTTTTAATTTCATGTCCACCCATAAATTGATCTTTAGAAGAAAAATTGATCCGATGCATCTTGATGCATCTCAGTAGTGTTAACATTCAATTAGGAATGATCCATGAGTGAAGATCTTTTCTTACGCTTCTCACTATAATTTTTCCTCACCGGAACCCAACCCTATATATATATATATATATATATATATATATAGGTGTGGCTCTATTTATAAACTCAACCACTAGTATGAACCATACAAATAAATCTCAATTGTTCATCTAATTCAATGAACATCTCGATTGTTTCATAATATAAAGTTTTGATCATAAAATAAATGAATTCTACTGATCTTTTATATGTATTCAAATCATAATAATTAATACACTCTCATCATTTCTATAAATATCTCAAGTAATTGGTTTGTATGGTTGATTTGTAAAAGATCTTGAGAAGCCTTCAAGAATATGAGAAGAGATCTTAGCAATTAGATTACTCATCCTCTCTAAAATTAAATTATCTAAAATATATTCAATATTTTATTTTAAAAATTATATAAAAAAACAAGAATTTCATTATCTTTAATTTAACATCCATGATAATATATATCTTTTAAGATTTACATATGAATCTTAAAGTGATTCAAAATCTCAATTATAAATTGTAGATTGATTCACATACAAATTATAGTTAAGATTTACATGTGATTCAAAATCTTAATTATATATTTTAAATAGAATCACGTCCAAGTTGTAATTAATGTTTACAACTGAATCTATGTAAGAATTCACATGTTCATATATGAACCAATTAAAAATATGGATGTTCGTATTCATATATAAGATTTAGATAAATGACACCTATTAAATGGAAGACCTTTATGTACATACTTTTCAATAGGAAATTCGTCGCTAAAAGGGTGATTTGTCACAAACCGTCACAAAAATTAGTGGTTAAATTGTTGGATGGTAATTCAAATTAGTGACAGATTATCCAGGTTTTCTCTTGGTGATCCGTTGGTGTTTTCAAGAAAGACATTAGATTCTACTAGACCCATTGATATTTTCTGGGTTATCTGTTAGTAATCACCAACAGAAATTTTCCTAGGTCATTTTTGTAGGTAAAAGTCATTCATTTTGCATTGTGAGATTTAATTTGATTTGTAGATTGTAAAATTGGCAATGATTTTAAGGCGAGAAATTGGATAAAAATCGATGATTGTCAATATTAAAAAAATGTTATAGAAAAAATAAAAAATAAATTAGGATTTTTTTTTTTTTTTTTGCATAGTTATCTTAATTAGTGAAAAGAGATTTAAAGATAAAAATATTAAAATTAGTAGTTGAGATTGATACTCTCATTATTAAAACTAGAAGGGTACTCACGCAATGCAGCGAGATATATCTCAGTTTTAATTTTTCGTTCATCGATGCTATAATACAGTTTTACGTGGTTTTCAGAAAAATTATAATTTTTTATTTTTGAATAAAATATAAATACGAATATATCATAAAATTTTGAAAAATATATACTGATATTAGTATCAAATTAACAATTTAAGATTTATCGTAGTTTTGTATAATTTCTTTAATTCATTTTTCTTATTTATGTTTTAATAATATAGATTTTTATAAGGTTAATAATTAACTATTTTGTCAGAACTCAATAATTATTCTAATTATATTTTAGATTTTTTATATTTAAAATGAGATGTTTATCCTCTATTTGATTATGTTTATCTGTAGTTAGTTACATCAATTCAAACATGAAGCTTTAATCAATTATATTTATGCATAATTTATTTATATATATATATAAAAGATTATTGTGTTAACTTTGTTAACCAATCTTGACCATTAATTCTTACAATAAACGGTTGTGATTAATCACGATAAAAAATTAATTTTTTAAATTTACAATTTCATAAAACATATGTGAACAAAGGGGAAAAGAGTATTTAGGTAATTTTCTTTTTTTTATGTGACTCTCATATCATTAATTGGGAGTTACAAAATCAAAAAATATTATTATTTTTGCAATGTAAAAACCATATGAACACACACACACATCTATATAGGGTCAGGTTCAAATGTTAACCCAAGTTTTTGTGTTAACTTTGTTAACCGATTTTGACCATTGAATCTTTCATAAACGGTTGTGATTAATCATGATAAAAACTTGTTTTTTTAAATTTAAAATTTCATAAAGATAAGTGAACAAAATTGAGAAGGGTATTTAGGTAAAAAAAATTATGTAACTCCCTTATCATTAATTGGGAGTTGCAAAATCAAAAATCTCATGATTTTTGTTAATTAATTTTTGTTAATGTAAGAACCATATGAACACAACTATATATATATATATATATATATATATATATATATATATATATATGAACTATTGTGTCAAATACGAACAAAAAATTGATATATATATGAACTTGGACTGCATGACATTTATGAACACAATATGAACATAATAAGAATAGCTGCTACACGAAAGAAAATAAATAAAAAAACAGGTATGAACACAATATGAACAGCTTGTGAACAATAGTTCCTTCATTATGAACACGTTCAGGAGCGATCCTTTGTCAAATGGAGTTTTATACATGCATTGCATCCACACCGTTTAAGGTTCGTATTACGGTATCTCCTCTCACCGGACTGAAGAGCCATAGAATCAAAATATTTTTTATTTAGTATTTCCTCCCTAGTACATACAAACCATCCCGTTTGTATGTCTCCGTTCTTGTTTGTTTTTTGGCATGAAAACGAACATCAAACCCGGCGTTGTCCGCGTACATCCTGTACATCTTTTTCGCTTCATTTATAGATACGAATTGTGCGTTGATCTTTGGCTTAAGCTCTTCATCAACATTTGTGATAAAATACTTGCTTTCATTTGAACACTCTCTGACATCGTACTCCGTTTCATGTTCAGAGGATGTAAGTATGTGAACACCTGTTGATACCATCATAGTTAGTAAAATCAATGAACATTAATATTACATAACTGGAGTAATCAACTACAACAACCAGAAAATAGATTTATTTGGTGCGAATTAGAGCAATCATTAATGACCATGAGATGATTAATGTGAACATATATGAACATGAACATATATGAACAACATGTAAGATCTATTTGGTTCAAGTTCATAAATTGTTCATAGACTAAAATAATTGACATGAACATATATGAACAAATTGTGTATAGATTTATTTGGTGCGGGTTAGATCAATCATTAATGACTATGGATGAGTAATGTGAATATATATGAACAGCAGGTGAGATCTATTTGGTTCGAGTTCACAAGCTGTTCATAGATGAAAATAATTGACATAAACATATATGAACAAATTGTGAACATGATCAATCCACATAGGAAGAGAACATCGTATGTTCATATATGAACACATAACCCCCATACTATGAACACCGGGTGCAATCACTTATATAATTTGACATATATGAACACCAGGTGCAAGAATGGTGCTTATATAAAGATTTGGGAGCAAAATTTTAACCAATGACTCGGTAATTTGACATGAACATATATGAACAGCAGGTGAGATCACTAACAAAAACCGATTTCATATGATGGGGGTCATTAGCATGAACAAATACAACTGTGAACATGATGAAGCCACATAGGAAGAGAATATCGTAAAAAAATATGAACACATAACCCCCATACTACGAACACCAGGTGCAATCACTTACACAATTTGGCATATATGAACACTAGGTACAAGCACTTACACAAATATTTTGGGATCAAGCTTCAAAAATGACATTTTTGTTCATATGACACAAAATTTCGTTTATGAAGTGTTACATATACTCAAATGAGAGTAGTAACATGAACACAATGGTTCATGATTCATAAAAGTCGGTTATAGGACCAATTTGACATATATGAACATCTGGTGCAATCACTTATACAATTTGACATATATAAACACCAGGTCAAGTACTTACACAAATATAAATATTTGGGAGCAAATTTGTTACCAACGACTCGGTAAGTTGACATGAACATATATGAACAAATTATGAACATGATCAAGCCACATAGGAAGAGACTATCGTAGAAAATATGAACACATAACCCCCATACTATGAACACCGGGTGCAATCACTTACACAATTTGGCATATATGAACACCAGGTGCAAGCACTTACACAAATATAAAGATTTGAGATCAAGCTTAAAAAATGACATTTATGTTCATATGACACAAATATTCGTGCATG